ACAAAGCAATACTCTTTGACTAACTCTAGTTAATACAACCAAAACAACAATGTTGAATAATATCCTACAAAATACTTCTTGAAAGTCGTATAGGTTTACAAGTAAAGAACAAAAGACAAAGACACAACAAACTCAAGGACTCAAGACATCTTTAATGTTCGGATCTGGTCCTTGTATTTCTAGCAGCCTTGGTGTTGAATGCACCTGGAAAAGACAGTGGCGATTGGCACATGAGATGATATATTTTTAAAATTTTCAAGGGTTAGGTCAAACCTTGTATCAACAACAACAAGATACCCAGTATAATTTCACAAATGGGGTCTGGAGAGGGTAGTATGTATGCAGACTTTACCCCTACTTGGAGAGGTAGAGAGATTGTCCGATAGACCGTCAGCTAAAGAAAAGGAGGAGTGAAAGAAAAGGGAAGAAGAAGAAATATTGAGGAGTATGAAAGAAGAGGAAGACCTTGTATAGTGTTATATATATAATAGAGAGCATGTGAGAATATATAGAGACAATCAGACAATACATATTTGGGTTTGGCCTTTACATCCATTGTTGCTGCCAGTCGGTACAATGAGACAACTTTCAGACATGTAGGGTTGACTGTTGACTGCACGACGGCTGGAAAACCGATCATATATGTTCCCTTATCTGGTTCCTCGAGAACGTTTGGCCAGACATCGTAACAAATCAAAACAGGCGCAAAGGAACGGATAGCATCAAGTTCCTATCTGGTTCCTCAATAGGGTTTGACAAATCATCAAAACACACAATAGCATAACTTATCACAAGGCAACATGATAATCAAACAATTGATCCTCTCAAACAAGATGGCCAGATCCACCGAGGAGATCAACAAATTTACTTGATTCATGCAAAGAAAGAAACTTAGGATATTAGACTTATGGAAGTAGCAGGATTGGGTCTGCGTCCAGATGATCAAAGTACGTGCGGTTCACCACACTTACGGAAAACTCCCCTTAAAGATCATCTAGCAACAAGGAGGATAAACCCAACTTGGAAGAAACAATGAAAAGCGACTTGGAATAGTCAAGTTAGAGAAATATTCCCTTCTCCTTGAAAATTTAACATTCATTTGTTGAGCTTGCAGGTGTCTTTATTAAGGCGCACACTGGAGCTCAAATGACTGGAGGATATCTCCAAGATATAGCAAGAAAGCACTGAATTACTCAAAGAATACGTGGACCGATTTCAAAGAGAAAGAACAGCAGAGCTTATAATGAGAGTACAAATGCAAGAAATTGTTAAGGATGAAACCCTCCTCGACCTTCGAGGATAAGAATCGGAGGCACGCTACTAATCTACACACTCTCAGACTCATCTGGGCAAAATAAATATTGCATTTCCGACAAAAAGTGAAAAGTATTAGTACATAAGTTGGAGAAGGAGTACAGTCAGGCCTCTCATTCTTAAAACTAATTTTTATGTTATATTTTATCTCTCTAGCAGTTTTTTATCTATAAAAGCAATATTCATCTTTATGGCAGTACGCTTTTTTGTAAAATTGCTCATTTATAATAGCTTATGTAGAATCTCTAAGATCACCATTAATAAGTATAATGATTTTGACCTCGACTTAATGCTACTTGGTCTGAGATAGAAAATTCAACTGCTAAGCTCTTAAATTGCCTTTCATTATTAGAAATTCGGCAAAAATTGAACAAAATTGGTCGATTTTTTGAAATATTTTAATTTTTAAATTTTTTTTATGAAACTGACCATCTTTGGTCGGTTTTCTTTGGCGCAAAAATGCGGGAAACTATTTTTGAGTCCTGCGAAATTTATTTTTCAAGAAACCGACCAACATTGGTCGGTTTTTGCAATTAAAATAAATAAAAATTAATATTAAAAAACCGACCAACTTTGGTCGGTATATTCAGCCGGTCATTTTAAAAAATCGGCCAACTTTGGTCGGTAATTTTATTTTTTAATAAAACCGACCAACATTTGTCAGTTATTTTCGTGCGAAAATACAATTAAAGAGTATAAATAAAAAAATAAGACAATCTTAAAATAAAATGCACCACTGGTATAGTGGTAGAATAGTATCCTGTCACAGCACACACCCCGATTTGATTCCCAGATGGTGAATCTTTTGATTACATAATTAAAATACCTACCAACTTTGGTCGGGTTTTTTTGCAATATTTTTTTTGAATTTAATTGACCGACCAACGTTGGTCGGTAATTTCCGACCAACTTTGGCTGGTATATTAAAATGGCCATCAAAATACCGTCCAAGCATATTTGATCGCATTTTGGTCGGTAATTGGCCACTTTGGTCGATTTTTTGTCGGTATTTACCGAATTTCTAATAGTGTTTAAGGGAAAGCTATCATATACCTTTTGTTAAAAGTTTGATATAAATCTTCACCAATTCAAGCGTTACATCGCTAATAAGAGACTAAAATCTATGGAATAAGCTATAATTATAAAGTTCTTCCATCAATCTTGAAAGAATTTAATCTTCTAGTACCTTAAATTTGTGTGTCTTGGAGTTAAATCTTCGTATATTTAGATATGAATTTATTCATAATGTATTAACTTCCTTTAATATTTAATTAGTAAAATATGCATATCTTTTGAGAATTTAAATTTGAATAATTGTTTTTATTTTTCATATGTAACATTAAAAACTAAATTTTTTGATAATTTTTATTTAGAACCACTAAAAATAATTAAACATTAAATGCCGTTAACGATATTGTCATGAGGTGGGACTTTAGTTGTTAATCATGGTAAATGCAAAATGTTCTTGAAATATTTTCAGCCTTACAATCAATCAAGCGTGAAGAGTACCTTTTTTTCTTTGCCTTTTCTTTTTTCTGCTTTGCATCTTCAATTTATGACCCATTCCTAAAAGGAGCAAAAGAGATGATAAATATTCCAACTAGGTTCCAGCAAAGAAAAGATAAAAAAGCTCCGGCTTACAAAAAAGAAAAGAAGTCGAAGAATTGATCATATAAAAAAATGATTAAAATCTTCCAACATAATTATTATACTGGACAATTATATTTGTTGGAACTCCCGTAAAATTTACGAGAGACTGGAGCACCAGTGCTCCAAACTCCAGTATATTATACTGAACAATTATACTTGTTGGAACTCCCGTAAAATTGTCCAGTATAATATACTGGAGTTTGGAGCACTGATGCTCCAGTCTCCCGTAAATTTTACAAGAGTTAGCAAAGTATATCAGTCCAGTATAATATGCTGGAGTTCGTACACAAATGCACCAGAACTCCTGTATATTATACTGGACTGGTCCCTGTGCAGCAAAATAGTTGCTATTTTTCATTGACTTGGTAAACGGTGGCTATTTTTCATTGACTAGTGTATAAACTGGCTATACCATGATATTTTAACTATATTGGAACCATATTGCAACTGCAGTTTTATAAAAGAATCTAGGGATAATACATAAATACCCCATCAAACTTGTCCGGAAAAGTCATTTACACACTTTAACTTTACGGGTGTCCTAACACCCCACTTTTCTAAACTTAAGTGTATTAATTACCCCCCTTAAAAAACTGAACCAAATTTTGTGTTGGCTATGTGTTGCACGCGCCATAAAGAGGCTTTTTTCAGTTTTTCCATTTTTTTAAAATTTTAGTTTTTAAAAAACGAAAATATAATGTTAAAAATAAAAAAACAAAAAAAATCTGTTTTTACAAATTTGTGTTCCCAGTTTTGTACAAAATATTTTTAAAAAAAAATGAATAAATAAAAAATATATATTTTTAAAAAACGAAAAGCATTTTGCATAACAAATTGTAAAAACTTAAAAAAACGGTTTTTTAAATATTTTCTTTTTATAAAAATTGGAAAAATAAATTTTGTAAAAACTGAAGAAATTTTTTTTTTTTTAACATCATAGTCTCATGTTAAAAAAGAAATAAACGAAAAAGAAAAGAGAAAATTATTTTCGTTGTTGAAAAATGTTTTTTTTCTCCAGTTTTTCAATTTTTCAATTTTTTAAATATTTTCTTTTTACAAAAACTAGGAAACTAAATTTTGTAAAAACTGAAAAAAAAAATTATTTTTAACATAATGTTTTCATGTTAAAAAAGAAAAAAACGAAAAAGAAAAGAGAAAAATATTTTTCGTTTTTGAAAACTGTTTTTCTTTTCAGTTTTTCAATTTTTTTAAATATTTTTTTTTTATAAAAACTGGAAAAATAAATTAAGTAGAAACTAAAAAAAATATTTTTAACATAATGTTTTCATGTTAAAAAAGAAAAAACGAAAAAGAAAAGAGAAAAATATTTTCGTTTTTGAAAACTGTTTTTTTTTTCTTCAGTTTTTCAATTTTTTAAAATATTCATTTTTATAAAAGCTGGAAAAATAAATTAAGTAAAAACTGAAGAAAAAAAATTGTTTTTAACATAATACTTTCATGTTAAAAAAGAAAAAACGAAAAAGAAAAGAGAAAAAATACAATATTAAGTTAATTAGTTATAATATTCTATTAGAAAGTGACATGTGGACCACTAAATTAGTTTTAAGTGTTTTTTGGGCCTTCACGCGCACCTAGATCGTGACCTACACGTTTTGCACAGACGGGGGTAATAAATACACTTAAGTTTAGAATAGTGGGGTGTTAGGACACCCGTAAAGTTAAGGTGTGTAAATGACTTTTTCGGACAAGTTTGATGGGGTATTAAGGTATTTATGGATTATCCCAAGAATCTAAATGAAAGAATTTATGCCATACATGGGGAAGAATGGGGATCGATTTTATGGTCCATTACAAATATAATTTTCGTTATATGGCCATTTTCATAAAGATCATTAACAAAAATATATCATTTAAAACACAGATGTCCTTTTTTAGGATCAATTCTTCTATTTAAATTGTAAATGATCGTGGGATATCATTTCCTCAGGAAGAACATAGTAGAAAGAAGAAATTTTTTAACCCATTTATGTTACATAAAAATAAAATAGAGAAGTAAGTCCATCAGCATAAATTAGCCTTATGATTTTCAAGAAAAGAATCTAGCAAGCAAAATAAACCCAAAACTGAATTACAAATTAAATGTTAAGAGGGAAAAAAAACTAGAATAATCCAAACAATCTTATACGTCGTTCAACTGAAAAAGGGAAAAAACGACCAAGAGAATTCACTTTTAGCTTTAAAAAAGCTAGAAGGAAATTTGCTTCCATATGTACAGTTTGGAATTCTTCTACGAGGCAATAATTGTGACAAAAAGCCTTTAGGTCAATCTTCAGCTAATGGTTCCTCCCAGTTTGTATGCACTGTTATTGAGTGGATTCCTTACCTCCACGTTTGTAGTTTTCAACTTCAGTGCTGAGAATCTTGAGATTCTGCACAAGAATAAGAACAATATGAAAAAATAATATCTACTACTTGTTGGAGGAAAGTGGAATCTATGAATCCGCGATGAAGACATAGACTCACAATGTGAACGAGGTAAGAGAGTGCCACGGACGTATACAATAACAACAACATACCAAGTATAATCCCACATATTATATACGCAGACCTTATCCCTAGGGGTGTCAATAGATATTTAAAAACCGACTAAACCGACCGAACCGATTTTTAGGTTTCTTTTAAAGAAACCGTAGATTTTTATATAAATCTATAACCGTACTGATAACTAGGGTAGGTTTTTTATTTATAAAAATAAACTGAAAAAATACTGAACCGTACCGAATAAATTTTATATGTGAAAAATATATTTATGTAGTAAGTTTAAAACTTATAAAGTATTAGATCTTTCATTGAGTCTTGGAATTATGAAAATTGTTACAAGCCAACAAGTAATTATACTCAAAATACTAATTCCTAAAATCTACTATGTTATTTATACTTAAACTAAGTTATTTCAAGTATCTTTATTAGCAAGATACAAAGTGTTCTAGAGATTATGCATAGCAAACTAAAATGTATTGATTATGTTTCCTTTCATACAATTTAAATTTATCTTTTTGAATATTTAATATAAACTTTATTCTTGAGTCCCGACTTGATAATATTTTTCCACTCGCATCGAATAGTTGGTTTTTTTCACGTTACTGACGAATAGTTGATGGATGTATAATCTAGCCATCTTTTATTTTTTTAATTCATCACATTTTAAACAGTAAAAATGTCTAGAAAATTTTGCTAAGTCCTATAAAAGAACATATGTTATTGCATTCTACTTCTACCGGTGAATTTTACATGACACTTAAAAAATATACCGAAAATTAACCGAACCGTACCGATACCGAAGTGAAACCGACATGATCGTAACGGTTTCGAAAAGTCTAATTTGGTTATACATAATAAAATAACCGAAAAATTGGTATGATACAAATTTTGTAGAATAACCGTCCGAACCGAACCATTGACACCCCTACTTATCCCTGCCTTGTGGAGGTAGAGAGTTGTTTCCAATAGACAGTGCCACGTACGATGTTTAAATGTAATTGGAGTCTGTTTCAGGGCTTACAGAAGCTCGTGCAAACTAAAGAAGATTAAGAGGAGAGACGGGGAGAGAAGTTCCCAGTGACAACTATAAAGCCGGCGCTAGTTAATTTTGTAAACTTATCATTTTTCTGTTATTACCAATTTTTCGCATAATATATTAGACCTCCTCCATCCCCCCAAATTTTAAAACTATTTTCACTTTAATTTATGACTCTTAAGGTCAAATTGTTTGGTTCGATACAAGCACCGGGTGGAAATATGTTGCTTGGATCCTTTTTTTTTTTTTTT